TCCCAATCCCCCCATCCCGCCGTCCCATCTTTCCGGGTCCGCGCGGGAGCGCGTACCGTACACACAGCCAGTGTTTTCACACGGAGCGTTTGTTTTACATTTGCTTAAATTTAAAGCGTGAATGAGTCGCCCGGGACAGAGAGAGAGAGAGAGCCCGGGCAAGGTACGCGCGGCGCTTCAGGCGGACCTGGACCTGGACCTGGCACACAAGAATTTGCCTAGCGCCAAAGGGGTAGAGAGGTAGACAGTTGGATATGGGCAGTGAGGCAGCGGCACTCGCCTGGCGCCGGGCGCCTCTACCGCCCGCGTGGTGCCCGGTACGTAGGCAATAGGTCAGTTCAGTTTTCAAGTGGTTTTATTGAAGTTAAGTTACGTTTCATTTGCATCGTACATATAAGGATCGCCCAAAAAGTACGTCCTTTTTTTCTCGGATTCATTAGACAAGTTACGGGAGCTCGGCGCCTGCGAGACTCTGGGTACACCACCAACTCGACAGATCCGTAGCGAATTACGGACGTGGGGCTGCCTACTTCTTGGATGACCCCGCATGCTTGTGTTTCACTTCATTTTACTGGGTGTTTCATAAAATACACGGGTGCAGGCGGGTTTGCCTACCCGCTCTGCCCGTAAGGCGCCATAGCCCCTTGGGTTGGCAAACCCGCCCGCACCTGTGTCTTTTATGAAACACCCGGTACATAGTTTTTGCTGAGCTTAACTTTAACTTGAAATTAAACTTTAACTTTACATGCTCAGCTCTGTCAGGAAGCGCAAGGGGAGACCGCCCGGAAGACGGCGTGAAGTGAGGCGCCTGGCGTGAGACGTGGCATGTGAGGTGGACAGGCATGCCAACCAAAATCGCGAAAACATTTTAATTTTAGCGCGCCGCAGGCCAAGGTAGACGCACATTTAGCTCAGCTTCATACGGTTTTAACGTGCGTCTACCTTGTTATACGCTGTTGCCCCGTCGATGAAGTGTTGTGTGATGATTTGGATGTGTTACGACTTTAGTATCTAGTTGGTATAGGTACGTGGCAGTGGCCAAGCGGAGCTGGTACTGGCGCCGCGTGGGTCGGCTCAGGTACACACGGTGGGTGGCGGGCGGCGTCCAGCCTCCGATATTCCTGCCTGTGTCGCGACAGCGTGCTCGGGCGCCCTGCCTCCACACGGCCGCCGTCAGAAAGCCGATAGCCTTCAGGCCTCCATGCCGCCAATGGCCTTTGCCTCCATGAGAACACGTGCAGGCGCGGCGCGGCGTGGTGTGGCGTGGCATGGCGGGGCGTGGCGGGGCGTGGCGAGGCGGGGCGTGGCGAGGCGCGGCAGGGCGTGGCGGGGCGGGCCGCCCGCCCCACGCACGTGTCTGGCGGGGCTGCCTAGCGCCGCTCGTGACGGGGTGTGCGTGCGCGGTGTGCTTGGCGGCTGCGGCGCCCGCAGCTCCGGCTCGGCTCGGCCCGGCTCACGCTGCTCGACTCGGCTCAGCGTGAGCCTGGAGGGTCATTAGTGAGCCCACTGCCCCCGGCGGGCCTGCCCCCGGCGGGCCTGCTGCCCTCGCCTGCCCTCTCCTCTGCGTTAGGCCGCAGGGCCACTTTTCCGATCTCAATCCTCCCCCTCGTCCTCGTCACGAACACACTCGTCTCCTCTTGCTGTACACCACACAGAGGGCAGTGCTTGATGGGATATGGGCTCCCGTCATCATCGTTGGACGATCACTATCGTTGACAAATGATGATAATCCGCCTAAATGTGTACTCAGTGTCCCCCCCAAAAAGGCATTAGCTAAACAAATATTCAATAGTTTTGCTGCAATATTTCAGGGGGTTTTCTTGATTATTAAAAGTGGGTGAGCGACAGAAAAACAATAATTTGGGTGCATCCTGAAGGGACCGCAATGTCTGGTACCCCCCCCCCCCTCTTTCCCTCTCCGTCTAGTCGTGACCCCCTCCTCCCCGCCCCCGCAATGCGTGACTTGCGACTCCCTATTATTGCTCGCGCCTAGCACCGCGGCTCGGAGGAGGGGGAGGAGGAGAGTGAGGAGGAGGAGAGGAGGAGGAGGAGGAGCGCGAGAGGAGCTGGTGACAAGAGACATCATTAAGAGAGCAGTCGTTCTCGCCGACGATACGGTTCCGCGTATGTAACCTTTCTCCCTTCTCCCGTTAGCAGCCCCTCCCCCGCCCCCGGCTACAGGTGAAGGCGACAGCTTCTTGCTTTCATCCGCACGCTTCTTCCTGCTTGTGTCTCTTTTTTCCAAAGAAGAGACAAGGAAACTGTTTCTATTGTCATGAGCGGGCGCC